TTCCGTTCACTCGGTCCAGCAGGGCGAAGGGTCGACGTTAAAGCGACGGGCTCCCCCTCCCTCGTAACAAACACAATCTTTGCGCCCACGGAACCGATAAACGAAATAAAATATTGGAAAATCTCATGCATATACAGTATCGTGGCGCAAACTCGATTGCGGGGGCGGAAGGCTCCGGTTTGGTTCACCGGATGCGAAACGAATCCCTTTCCACCGAGGTCTAACCTCGTTCCGACGACTCTCGGATCAAATTTTTTCGACCATCGATCGTGCAACACACCTTCCTTGTGGAAATCAAATTTTTCCACGCGTCTTGCAAATTTTCCACCGAATCTTCTTCCTCCTCTTCGAGATGCTTGACCCGTGAAAATGATGATTCGAACAACAACTGGAAGAAACATACAAAGGGATGATCAAGGGGTGGACAAATAAGAGACTCGCGTGAGAGATGGTGGAAAGAACTACACTTTGGAAGATGGAACGAGGGAACTAATTTCAAGGAAGGAAAAGAAATAAGGAAGAAGGGGTGGAGCAAGTGGAAAAGTTTCTTCCAAAGTTCTTTTATATAATAAACAGCTAAGGTAAGGGATATCAGAGATATCCGATATCGAATCGTTATCCAACCTTTACCATTCTTCGAGGAGGAATCTAACTCTTTTAAAAGAAACATCCCATACCCGATTTAACGTAATCGAACAAGCACGATAATAAAAAGATTTTAAAAAAGAGCAACCCAACAAATCGAAAATTTTTATTAGCAAGAAATTTCTACTTATCTTCGGTTTATCCCGACGCTCTGTTTTCTCTCCATTGCGTCTCAATGGAATTACACGACAAAGGAACAGGTGCGAAAAAAAACCAACCAACTTTTTCCCCACCGACGTCCAATGGGAAACGATCTCTTTGTCGAACGTCGTGAATACGTATCAGCCGTGGAAACGATACGTTATCAACGACGTACGCACAACAACGTACTGAGACGCACGAGACCGATAAGATATTGACCGAAGCGTTTCGTTTGTTTTGTTTATGGAACCACGGGGGGGAAGAAACCACGCGAAACGGGCTTTCGTTTACCTTTATGATTTGTATTCGTTCCCGTATAATGTCACTTTCTATACAGAGCCACCGCGCATTTCTACTTTCACTTCTGTGTCGTTCGAGGCGCGCATGCGCGGACGCGATCGCGCGCCTACTCCAATTTCGTCGCGAATTTCACCACGTCTCGGTTTCCAATCGATTCGAAATCCCGATTCAGAGAAGAAGAAATCCGAATTTCACCGATCTCTATTCCTAATTATCGAACAATAATATCCGTTTCCACGTTCGTTTCCGGTTCACGTTTCTCGATCCGTGATCGTGAAAGGCATCGCGACGTAGGTGCATAGATTGTTGGCTATAAATGTTGGATATACAAGTTCTCGAGGTATTCGAGAGGTTATTTTTGAAGTTGAATTATTTCGACGATCGTTGCAACCTTTTTCGATATATACCGGATAAACCGGTTGCCATTTCAAATATGGAAGAAAGTTGCGAGCGCTGGATACGAAAATGATGACCTGGACGAGCTTATATCTGCGATATTTTTTGCGAATTTAAAATCTCTGGGATAAATTGCTCCCCATTTATTTGATATATCGGACGATTATTCAGTGTGCCCGGTTTGAACGTTATTAGTAGTTAAAAATCTGAGGAGACGCTTTTTCCTTTTAAACGGGGGAATATCGTGACGATAATTGTTGCAACAAAGTCGGTTCTAGATCCCGAATATTGTTAATGGCTAACATTAATTTGTCATTTTGTCTTGGCTACATATATTTGAAATAAAGAAAGCTTTTACGCAATTTATTTTATACATTTTTTTTTTTTTTTTTCGTTATCTTGATTTTATTAACAATATACGAATCCCTCTTTTCACGCTTCTCACAAAAATTGCGGATTAAAGCAGACTTTGGTAAACTTAAGTAAATTTATCATTAAGATAGATCAAACTAGATCAAGATAACGTGATATTCGTTTACACGTACAAGCGGTTAACACGATCCGGTTAATGAATCGTGGAATTGTTAAGTGTCCAATTACTTACGAGCAGGAATGCGGATTATACATTTAAAGCCATATATAATTAATAATAATCAATGAAAATCCGGATATCGAAAAATAAGGCTTCCTTATCATCGAAAATAAATCTATTCTTGTGTTGCATCCGTGTAGAAAAGCGTGATCGAGCACTCGATATCCTATCGGGGGGAAAAACCGAGCAATATCGTTTAACCACTTTGTCAACTCTTCGCTTATCTCCACTTCGCCATATGATTCGCTTTAAGAATGGAGGACACGCTCGCTTTTGACGTCATTCCTTGGATCGACCTTGGATCGCCAATTGTTATCGAATAGACGGGTCGCTTGAAAAAAAAGGAAAAAGCGCAGAAGAAAAAGATGAAGTCAAGTGCGACACGGAGATAGAGCGTGGGTGTCGTTTTCCACCAGCGAGCCTTTTCCACCACCAAGGAGAGAAAGATCGTTCCGTCGTCCCGGTCATCAACACGTGACGATAGCAACGACGCACCATGCAAATTAGACGGCCTGCAGCCGGATAACGGTCGATTGTATGCAAATGCGATCGGATTCTGACAGCGACGCCCAATCGGATTCCCTGCCGATCAGCGAGGATGAACTTGGGGATCAACCGGATGTCCCTTCGATATTCCACTTATCGTTATCGAAACCCAAGGATTTTCGCGCCTACGCCTATGCTTCGAGGCTCGATCATCAATCGGCCGATTCGTGTGCACGGTGATCGAATTTCGTGCACGATTTTTCCAACTCTTGCTGCCAAGTTGAAACTGGAAAAGGTGTGCGGTTTGACGATTATGTATTGCACGGTAATCCGAGTCGTTGAATTTTGTATCGGCTCTGAGATGAACGAGTAGAGGCGAAGAAGAAATTGTAACGTAGGGATGAGTATTATTATTATAGTATAGGACGTTGTGGATGGTAACTAGAAATCTTGCGGATAATTTAAATTATGCATTCGACGAAACAGTCTTGCTTGACTTCCGCGATGATTTGTCGCAATAGTTTTTACTTCAATTTTCGACGAATTTTTCAAACATGGAAATAACTTTGGTTCGCGTCAAGAAAAATGCCAAGGAAACGATTACTTTTTGGTTAACAATGGGCAATCAAGTATAATTTATTGGTCGTTGTTTTATTATTTAATCGAAAAGGATCTTAAAGAATCTCTAAGCTTGCGTCATCACGTTTCTTTTTCAACTATTACAACCACGGATAATATCATCGAAAATTGTCAAAAATGAATTTGCCTTCTTGCGAGCTACAAAGTCTTCGATTATTCTGTCTTAGATAGAAAAAAGTTGCGATATCCTGATTAAATCCATTTTCCGAGATTAAGAATAAAACAATCCCAAAATACACGTCTTACGTCAAACACAGCACGAAATACGTACGTATATACGTTCTATCGATATATATATACGTACGCTGGTAACGAAACCGCGACAGTTAGGAACGTCCTTGCCATAGCAGTCGCCCACGTGTTCTCACTTGGCCACCTACTCGCTGCATATTGTCTCGCAATACTCTTTCAACCTTCTACGAGTCTACGACACCTCTCGGTTGTCACCGTTACCGCCCCCGCAACCCTCTCCCCTTTCCTTATCTCCTCCATTCTCCCAGTAGGTGCACCATGATATGAAAAATGAGGAGGAAGAAAGGCGCGGAGGGCCGATAAAAGAAGCGGTGTGTGTATATATATATATATATATATGTATCCATTCTCGTGTTCGTCTATTTACATAATTGCGGGCTTACACAATTTTCTTGTCGTAACTCATTTTTCATGGCATTTAAAGCTGGAAATTACGCGGCATCGTTCGGCTAGATTATTTTATAAATGGACGTTATAGTTGCCGCGAGCGCCTCTACGACGCTTCTCCCAACTAATATAATAAGAAAATGGCTGGAATTCGAGGGAGGATGAGGATCGATGAAAATTACAGGATACGTTTCTTTTTATCGTTCGATCAAATTTCTTCCTCCTCGTTTTAGGTAGGTACGTGGTGCGTGAGCTGATTCCAAATTACAGTTTTCCATCGAGAATTTAGCGTTTGTTGGCCGACTGGTATAGATGTTACCTTTTGTCCCCAAGGTGGAGTGGCCGAGGAATCGAGGAGAAAACGAAGTGGAAATTGTTTGCCTTCTTCAAACTTTGGATCCCCGTGAGATAGTGGGACGAATTGAAAATTGGAACGGATAAAGTTGAAACGACGACGTGTTTGATTATTATTTATATCAAATTCTACACTTTGCTTATATTAGATAATAATAATTTCAATATTCGATCGAATAGACACGAGTCATTCGCAATTACACAAATATCAAACGAAAACGAAGACGTAATACAACAAGGTATGCACGTAATCTGGAAAATTAAAAATTACGGAGATATATACGAATCTATATCAATTATATAAAAGTTCTTTTATATTCATTTCACGACGATTCGAAATAATTTTAATCCCAAACTTAATTTCGATCTTTCATTTTTCCACGCGAAAGAAATGTTACGTAATAATTTCAAATTACTAATAACATCCTTTCAAATAAATATCATTTTAAAAACAAAGTGTTTCGGTAAACACTTACTCCGATCGTGTAATCGAGCAACCGATATATCGTCGTTATCGTTATTTTGAAACTAATGGAACGCCGTTTATTTATTGAAATGGCGTCAATAGTTAGCTACGTCGCTATCTGTCCAGATCCGCTATCTCATCGATATACCAATAATCCTATCGTCGACGACCGCTTCGTCGAGGCCTCGATCTACGCCAACGCGTGGTGTGGACGTACGCTTCAATGAACGAACGAATCGTTCTTAAAACGAATAAAAAAAAAAAAAGAAGAACCAATTTCTTTGAATGCAACTCGTAAAATACACCCGTGCCGCCATTAGTGGGGACACTTTTGGCGAACAGGAAACAGGGGCGATACGAGTTGGCCTTAAGGCGAGCGAAGAGAGGAACAAGTTCGTTCGAAATAACCGTGGAGGAGGAGGAGGAGAAGAATTACCATTAGCAGACGTTTTCTCGCGGTGTCAGCGATCGATACACCGCGAGAGCGGAGCAAGAAAGTGGAAGAGTCGGGGTTTCCGAGGGAATTAATCGCGACTGAAAAGTTTGGAGGGCGGTTGTTTGCGGATTTTCCGGGTGTGCTAACGAGCCGCGAAACTCGGGGCCCCTGCTGAAATAAACGAGTCAAATCCCCGAATGGCCCGGGCGGAACGAGCCAACTGCGCCAACCATCGACCTGTCGATCCTCGCCAACCCGCAAACGTTCTGTAAAAACAATTGCTGTAATTTACAGCAGCCCCTTTCCCTTTCTGTCCTTGTTCCACCGATCCAAATCTTCTTCGTCTAACCGAAGAGAAATTAAATTGGACGATGTTTGAACATTGTTCGAGTGTCGGATATTTTCGAATTATCCTATATTTCGTATTATCGGCGAGATTAAACGAGTAATCGTGTTTTATGTGACGCTCACGAAGGTGTTAATGGATTAATTGGGAATAATTAATGGATTAACAGGGGATTCGTAGTTGTTGTTGTCGTAATAAAGTATCTAAGAAGATGGAAGAAATGATGAAAATTAGAAGTTGGTTGAGTTTCAAAGAAATTTCTCATCGAAGCATAAATTGTTATGCAATTATACTCTCTTACAAATTTTCAAAACTATTTAAGGTTAAGTTAGGTTAAATTGCAGGCCAACTGTTTGCGACACGTTTTTTGTAACCGTTCTACTAATACTAATTCATTTTACGTAATAACACTAAAATGGCACTTTAGATAATTTATTTGTTTTTGAAATGGTCGAATATATTTCTTTATCTGCTCTGAGAAAAATACCGTGATAAAAAAAAATGCCTCTTTTTTTTTTCACGATTTTCCTTCTTCCACGGCTAAAAAAACAAAAGCATTTAGATTAGTTTCTTTCGATTGTTTTTACACCTTGTACACGATACATATTTACGTAACAAATTTGCAAAACAAAAGTCGTTCTTTAATTCCTCGACAAATTGTTGAAGGAATCTTTCGATTCTTTATTAGTAGAAAATCATTTGGAAAATAATATCAAAAGTTGAAGAAATCGTACGTATCAAAGGTTTATTCGATTCAAAAGTGGCCATCGCCTTGCTACTTGTTGCGATCCGGAATTCCATTCGCGGATTATGTAACAAGACGTCAATCGGTTCTGCTTTTCTGGATATCATTATGCAAGAATGTTGCACGATAGAAGCTCGGCCAACTTCGGGCCCCTTGAATACGTTTGCATTTAATTATTTGCGGAATTTCGTTTCTAATTAATTCTCGTTCATACATAATAAATTCTCCAGACGTAGTTGGACGAAATGTCGCTCGATCGATCGATCACGAATAAAACTTCCCAGAAGATTCCTCTGACCGAGGAAACCTGTACGAAACATCATCGTTCTTTCATCATGATTCTTATTGGTTTGTTGTTTCTCGATAGTGCTGTACCTGTACACCTTTGGATCGATGGATAAATATCGTTCTGGTATCTTCCGTTTGACGTTCGTATTTGGAAAATTCTTGTCGATGTTTGTCGCTCATTGAATTGATTCGTGACGCAAAAAGAAAAAAAAATTGGTTACCACGCATGACGCATGAATTTTTTACGAGAGTGCGAACAAACTCGAATGTTTTGAAAATATTTTTACAAATTGATGGGGGAGGAGGGGGCAGAAGATCTCTGTCGTCACTACTTCTACCGTATCGAGAAAGTATCAAGTAAAGTATAATTATTTTTTATAACGCGTAGAAAATTTATTACGAACGTTGGATCGTTTTAGATTAGATTAGATTAGAATCAAACTCGTCGAAGTCGTGAAATAAATTCAGAATTGAAGTTAAACTTATTCGATTGCCATTGCTGAAACGCGAGACAGAAAATAATTGCGAATTCAAACTTGAATTAAATTTGTTCCCGAACTTGATCTAAACACAGTTCCTTAATTCAACTGTCTGATCTAAATCTAGCCTAATACCGCAACGTTCCTAATGTACCTAATAACAAAGAGATGTTTAAAACGATAACTTTTTAAGCAACGTATTTTACTTACAAAGATTACAATTCGCGACATATTTAAACCCCGCTATTTTAACTAATAATTCAATACCATTAAGTGCTATCGTTTTGTCGAAAATTGTGCAAGAAAAAAAGAAAAGGTATTTAAAAAATTAAAAGACAATTAAAAAGTTCCCGGATCCCGATAAAACAATTATTACTTTATTCAGAAACTATTTGAATTGCATTCTCTCGCGAAAAAAAAAAATTGAAAAACTTCCCTTCGAATATTTCGAATCGTGAAATAATAAAAAAATAAAAATTGGCTGGCACTTATCCGATCCCACCTCGCCAATCTCACGGATTAATTCATACTTGCCTTGCCGCAATAACGTCATTTAATAACGTCAATAACACGTCAAACACAAAGAAGAAGCGTACAATAACGAAGATTCATAAGAAAGGATGATCCGTTTACTTAGCTATGAAAATATTTGCGCGAATATTTGCGCAGCACGCGACACGATCGAAAATACTTCGCTAATCCCCCCTTTTACACGATGCCATTCCAACCTGTTTCGGGCAAAGTGCACCGGTGATCGTTAAACATAATAAAGATCTTATCGCCGTTGATCCCGACACGTCACTTTTCATAACGATCATGGCCATCGATATCACCGGGCGATATCTCGCGTTTGTTGTTCTATTAGCCGGTGATGCGTTATCGACGAGCACAACGACCAGTTACAACGAAATTAATTCCCCGATCGATATCAACCGATAATTGCCGATCAACGATAGTTCGTCACTATCGTACTATCGTTGGATCTCTAATGCAAGTAGAGTCGCAATTAGAGTCATTGAAATTGTGGTAATCAGATATCGAACGCGTTGAATTATTTAATTAAAACGACGACTGGTAGAAAGACGATTCGAAATTATCGCGAGATCCGACGTGTATAATTTTGCTCAATTCAGTTTCGAAGCTGTTGATCCTGCAATGTAAGTATCCAGGATCGAATTTACCGTTGCGCGAGTATCTACATTTATCGAGCGTACGAATAAGAAATATTTGGCAAGCTTGGTGTTCAACCATTGATCGATCAGAAATTCCACACATTTCAAAGCGATTTTGTATGTCTGAGAAATAATTATTGTTTGTGTGAAAATTCGTGGTGTAAACGTACGACGAGTTTATTGAATGATCTACCGAAATTCTGTAGTAAAACTCATTGATCGTTAATCGTCAATGAATCGAGTGGAACCGGTTTCGTAGTGGGATGATTTATGATTTCGAAAATAATCGTTAGATCTCTGTTAACTTTTCGTATCTCTGTCAGCTCGCGTATTTCGAATCGCGTCTTATTGATCATTCAGGTGATTATTAGAACGTGTTCTTTCAATGGTGAAAACAACACCAACGTGATCGCGACGAATTTAAATTCCACGCATTAAATAATACGTTTCTCCGATCCTAATTACTTTTATCTTTGCGCCGTGACTGGCCGATCTAATACCACTTTTAATTATCAGAATTTAATTAAATCTCTCGGAGATATCATTGAAAAAGCGATTAGTTTGAAACGCTAACTGTATCTTACATCATCATCATCAACATTTTCTTTTCTTCTGTTCGTATTAACAACACGCGTTAACAACGAATTAAGAATTATCCTCGTCATTATCCTCGTTAATATGCTATTTTTCTCGATGTTTTTTTCATCCTATCTGCGGTGTAATTAATTTCGAC